AAGTTACCTTCAAGCATAAAGGCAACAGCCAAGCATTCTCAGGCATTTGAAACCTTAGGGAACAAAGCACCCAGGAACTCTTCTTGAAAAACAACTTATATATGAAATCTATCCAACAAGGGGATGAGTCAAAATAAATTCTGGAATAGGGCGCCTGGGTGGCTCAGTCAGTTGAGCGTCTGACTTCAGCTGAGGTCATGTTCTCGCGGTCCGTGAGTTCGAGCCCCACGTCGGGCTCTGTGCTGACAGCTCGGAGCCCGGAGCCTGTTTCAGATTCTGTGTCTCCTTCTCTCTCTGACCCTCCCCTGCTCATGCTCTGTCTCTCTCTGTCTCAAAAATAAATAAACATTAAAAAAAATTTTTTTTTAAACAAAATAAATTCTGGAATAGAAAATCTAGGTGTATCAGTTTTCTGGGGCCACCATAACAAAGAACCAGAGACTGGGTGGCTTAGAACAATAGAAATTTATTGTCTCATAGTTCTGGAGTCTAGAAATAGGAAATCAAGGTGTTAATAGGACCATGTTCCCTCTGAAAGAGCTAGGGAAGCATGCTTCCATGCTTTTTCCAGCTTTTTGAAGCCCCAAACGTTCATTGGCTTGTGGCAACAGAATTCCAATTTTCACCTGGTGTTTTCCCTACATGTCTTCATACAGTCTTCCCTCTGTGCATGTCTGTGTCTAGATTTCCCCTTTGTAAAAACACCAGTGGTCTTGGATTAAGGCCTGCTCTAATGACTTCATTTTAACTTGATTGCCTCTATAAACACTCTATTTCCAAATAAGGTCACTGGGAATTAGGACTCCAACACACATTTTTGAGGGGAAGATACAATTGAACCTGTAACACTGGAGTTACACAAAGGGGTAACATAGTTAAACTGAGTCCGTTAAACATAGAGCCAAAACTAAACAAGAGTAAGGAGTATGGTTAGAGAATAAAATGAAGGGAGGTAAACATTGACAATAGAAAATAATAAAAATCAAGAGACAGAGTGGGTCAGTGGGTAAAGTGTAAGTGTGAGTAAATCCTCATTGCTGGCAGGAAGTCAAGAAATGCCATGTAAAATTGAAACTTGTTTCATTTTTAAGCTTAAATTTAATTAAAAAAATTTTTTTCCAAGGATTGTTGACACACAAACTTGTCTTTTTAATTAAAAAAAATTTTTTAATGTTTATTTATTTTTGAGAGAGAGACAGAGCAAGAGCAGGGGAGGGTCAGAGAGAGAGGGAGACACAGAATCCAAAGCAGGCTCCAGGCTCCAAGCTGTCAGCACAGAGCCCAATGTGGGGCTCGAACCCATGAGTTGCAAGATCATGACCTGAGCCGAAGTCGGATGCTTAATGGACTGAGCCACCCAGGCATCCCAAACTTGTCTTTAAGAAAAAAAAAAAAAAAAGAGCATAGCAAATTCAATCAATGTTTTTGATTCTTTTTTTCTTAATTCTAAAACAATTAATCTTTTGAAAACTTGTGAAGGAACACCAATTTAGTCATTTCTAAATTTGTCTTCAGTTTTTCTGATAATAAATTCAACTAAATCAATATTAAATTTTTTTCATCTAAAATAGTATGCAGAGTGAGATCCTATTTTCACAAAACTTCATTGGTTGTTCTATCTCTCCATAGGTATGGAGTCTTTAGGGATATTTTAAAGATGTTAGGAATGGTTGTCTCTGAGCAGTAGGGTTTCTAAGTGAGGTGGGTTTTTTTTTTTAACTTTCTTTGTTGTACTTTTCTGTATTACTTTAATTTTTATAACAAACAGCTGTTATTCTGAGCAAAAAACAGTAAAAATTATTTTACTTTTTTTTTTTCCTAACAGCTTTCTTTGTAGGCATTGGGGGTGGGACTCAACTTCAGGTTCTAGGTAGAGGTGGGTCCAGCAGGCAAAAGGTGGGGTCCGAGGATGCTGTGAGAGCCAACACAAGGTGCCTGGGCTGTTAAGGGGCCCTTCCACAGCTGGGGGTCCTGTTTCATAGCTGCTGTGGCAGAAAAGTCCCCACTGTAAATGCCACCACATGTATTAAGGACTTTCCACAGTAGACCCAGCTCCCAAAGAAGCCACATGTCCTCTAAGATCAGAAAAATGAGTCAGAGCTGCCTTCTCGCTTGAGAAAGTCCAACATTTGCTTTATTGTGACATCAAAGAAGCCAATGCTCCTAGAAACCAACCTATAAGCTGGCTCTGCCCCTCTGGACCCCCAACCATCAGAATCACCCATGACTGTCCTGAGCTCACAGCTGTGTGATTAAGTTCCCCAATCCATCCTGCAAGCTGGACTTTTTCAACAGGAAAGGCATTTGGGCACATAACGGTCATCATCATAATCATATTTTATTGTTCCTCTTCTTATATCTGGTTGCCCCCAAATGCTTGGCAGGAAACTTATCTTTTATTACTTCTCTTCCTGTATTTTAATGGAAACACTGGACGTTTCTGTGGATACAGCACGCAGGCAGCTGGGGTTTTGTGAGTCGTGAGCTTTCGGCTTTACTTCCTCAAAGTTGGTGCTGGCCCTCACATTTGATCTTTCTATCCTATAAAATGTGACAATGTCGCACCAGGAGACACCAGCTCAGAGACACCAGGTACAAGGATAAGCAGGAGGGCAGCAGCAAGAAGTCTAAGGATGAACAGGGTCCCAGCTTGGACAGACACTCCTTGAGGGGCCTGAGGCCCTAAGAGTATCATCTAAACCTGAATGATGGCCTAAGGGTGTGTGGCACACAGGACCTGCGTACTGGACTCTGCCAAAAGGCTGAAGATCACATGTGGCCAGTGTCTCCATGGGACAGAACCCCAGATATAACACTTATAGAGGCAGGTATAGGTCTTCAGTGAATGTTGAGCACAGAGAAATAGCAGGAGCCATGAGGACAGCACCTACCGGCAGCCTGGGAAACTTCTTGGAAAATGTTGTCTATACTCTTTTTTTTTTTTAATTAGAAAGACTATTATTAAACAGAAGTTTATTTGTTAAAACATACAGGAAGTCAATGTATTTCAAATAACGTAATACTGTAAATCTTATGTTCTCTGTTGTTCTGAATCTAGGTCCTAAAATGGTCTCTTGCAATTTGTCCATCTCCTCTTTGCTCACTACATGTATCTAAGGCGGGTGCTAATTACTCAGAGAGGCTGAGTGTCTCAGAGCTTATATCTATTTAGATGAGGCAGCAGAGATCACATCCCACCCCGACCTTCAACCTTCAGATTACCTGTGTCTCTTCCCACACCCTTTGTACCCTGTAGTTCTTTGATTCATGATCAGCTTCTTATGAGTGTCACTGTGCCTGGCGAGGCTCTTTCTTTTCTGATAGCTGTAATTTGGGCAGATGGCTGCTGCTCTATTTACTTCTGCTTAGTCAGTTGCATTTTCTCCACATCAAAGTTTACGTCTCTAGAGAACTACCTCCGTTTATTAAAAATATAATTTTAGGCATTCACTGAAGGTAGATTATGAACAAACAGCAAAACAAGATGGCCCTTCAACCGCAGCCTTCCTGCGGCCTTTTAGACTACTGCCCACAATGGGTGCTGACACCCCTGCCTTATCTGATTTCAAATCTTGGGTGTCTATGTTTAGCCATTTTTATGTGAGCCACTCTTTCAGCTCATTCGGTCCTCCTCAGCCTGTGTGATCAGGCTCTGCCCCCTCCACTCTACTGAATGCTCTTTCTAAGACCACCAGTAAGCCCCTACTCATGCCAAATAAGAATGATATGTTTCACTTCCCATTTGCCTAATCCCTCCGCTCATATGTGAAACTACTCAACAAGTTCTCCATCTTTAAACTCTGTGTCCGTTGATTCCTCTCACATTGATTGCTCCCCCAGTTCTTACTGCAGGCCATGCAGTAGTTCCCCTCACTCTTTAATGGGCATCTTTTCCTCCCCAACCCGTAAGTCCTATACTCAGGGCTCTATATGCAGTGAGCAAGCTCTTCTCTCCTCATGTCTTAACTACCAGATGTCGCCAAACTAGATATCTCTAGGTTTCTATTCTCAAACATCCAACTCTTATAGGATGTCTTAATTTGCCCTGAATTAACACATGATCGTACCCCAAACTCTCTCTCTTCCTGGGTTACGCTACATTTTTGCAGCCCAGGGAAACACGCTCATAAATGGAAATGAGAACCATTCTGGGGACCCCAAAGCAGAAGTCACTTTGAAAACTTCAATGACTGCCTTTGGTCTGATCGGAAAGCATGACCTCGAGGGATTTAGCAGATAGTGACCTCAGAGAGGAAGTGTGATTGTTCTTCCTCCTGTAACTGTATCCCGTTCGGGTTCTTTATCTCCCCTAGTAGAAAATGTGGAGGAGTAACTATGCTTCTCCCTTGCATTGGTAATGTCAGCCTGGAGATGGGTATATGTGAAAACAAGGATGGAGAAGCCCAAGTGGATAAAAAGTAAACACAGTAGGATTTCCCCAAATACTCTAATGTGTCCTGAGAATACAAATCAAGCCAACTCACACAGCTCTGAACACTGGAGCTTTAATCTTTCAAGAACACACTTCCTTCCTGTATTTCTAGCAATTACTGTTTCTGGCTTTTCTGGAAATCCCACCAGTCATCCTGACTCTCTCCTCCAAAAGAATTGAGTCACAAAAATAGAACCATGAGAAAAGTTAATTTGATCCCTTTGCTCCCTGAAATCTGTTGGGTGGAAAGAGCCTGGGGGAATAGGCTGGGAGTTGGGGGGAGTTCTTCCTCAACTGGTTCTTCCATCTCAAGGAAAAATAAACTGAAGGGAAAAATAAATGTTTTAAGTTAGTCATCCACAGGAAAGAGATTTCGTGGGAAAAAAAATTCACACTTCGACTATTCTAGTATTTAGAGAAAGAGTCTTGAAACTGAGATCCATCAACTAGCTTTATCAAAATATATGATCTTCTGGAAACCATGAGCAATGTGTTCTTGTGTCTGTACATTTTTATGAGGAGAGGATTCACAGCTTTTGCCAGATTCTCAAAAGGGTCCCTGACACCCCAAATGGTAAGAACTACTCACTTAGAGGTTAACTTAGTTTACCCATTGTTGTATAGCAAATTACCCCCCAAAACTTAACAGTGTAATATAGCTAACATGAGCTCACAGGTTATGTGTGGCAGGAATTGAGAAGTGGTGTAGCTGAGTGATTCTCAGGGTCTCTTGTGATGTTGTAGTTAGAAAGTCAGCTGCGACTGCTGTCATGTGACAGCCTGACAGGGACCAGAGAATCTGCTTCCAAGATGGTTTGCTTACATGGCTGCTGGCAGAAGGCCTCAGTTCCTTACTGGCTATTAGTAGGAGGCCTCCACTCCTTGCTGCACAGATCTCTCCATTGGGATGCTTGAATGTCCTCACAACAGAGCAGTTGGCTTCCCCCAGAGTGAGTGACTGAGAGAGTAAGGAGAAAGCCATAATGCCTTTTATGACTTAGCCTCAGGAGTCATACATTGTCATTCCTGCCACTGCTATTCTATATGCAAGACAGTTCTTTCTCAAGGTGAGGTAATTAGGCTCCATTTTTTGACAGGAGGAATATCAAAGAATTTGTAAATACATGTTTAAACTACTAAACTAGTAAAGAGGCCTTACAGCTTTGCTGAGAAGTCAATTTCTCTCTCCCTATGCAACCCTCCCCATTCTTCCATCAGATCATTTTGCAGAATTTGGGACTCCTCCAGGACTGGGCTCTCCTGTGACCTTGGACGAATTACTAAGCTTCTTTGTGTCTCAATCTTTTCATTGGTAACTGGGGATAATGACGGTGCCTACTTCAGAGGATTGTTGTATGAGGATTAAATAGAATTCTGGATTTATAAATGCTAAAAACATGTTAGCTATAATCATGGTGACCCTACTCCCAACCTAGAGTTCCATTTACTTTAAATAGAATTATACATTTTTGGATTGTAAATCATTTTTTTAAGTGTATTTATTTATTTTGAGAGACAGAGAGCAAAAAAGCAAGCAGGGGGAGGGCAGAGAGAGGGGGAGAGAGAGAGAGAGAGACAGAGAGAGAGAGACAGAGAGAGAGAGACAAAGAGAATCCCAAGCAGGCTCTGCACTACCAGCACAGAGCCCGATGCAGGGCTCTCACTCACAAACTGTGAGATCATGACCTAAGCTGAAATCAAGAGTCAGGTGCTTAACTGGCTGAGCCACCCAGGTGCCCCAGATTGTAAATCTTCTAGGTGGGGGGAGAAGTGATTATTTACTGAGAATTTATTTGTAGAGTAGGTGCTGTAGGACAGGTACTGTAGGACAAAAGAAGTTAAAAATAGATCCTGTCCTTGATAGGTCTAAAATCTCATTGGGAGAAAAGGTATATATTCATGAAACAGAGGGATGCTTTGGAATCAGTGACACTCCTCTCTGCTGGGAACAGGGCAGAGTACCCAACTGGAGTGTAATTTTGAAGATGTAGGCCAAGGAGGATGAATGAAAATTGAAGAGGAGATGGAAGTTTGAAGGGGACCACAGTAAGCCTTTAGGGACCATAGCAAAATACATACATACATACATACATACATATCAAAGGGAAAGATTTATAAAGTCAAGATTTCACAGAGAAACAAATGGACTTAAAGAAAGGGTAAAACAGAGGAATTTCTTCCAGGGAATAATTGGTTTGTGCTATGCTAATCCCTAAAGGAGAGCTTTATTATATTTACTAATCTATTTACTGAAACAGAAAGATACTCTGTTAACCTTTAAAGAACAAGGTAAGGGTCTGTCTATAGGCTCCCAGATTTCAGCACAGTGTAGCCATGGAGGATACTTTTTGAAAAAAATACATACTGAAAACCACTTCCCTAATTCAGATTTTGGATTAAAATGTCTCCTGGACATTTAATCTCCTGGATTAATCTCCTGGATTAAAATGTCCACAGAGCTGGCTCCCTGAAGCCCAGCTTTTCTGCTTACTTCCTTTTGTGGTAAGGGCGAGATTTCCAGGAGCTACTTGATTCCACAGGGCTTCTGCAAACTCAGATTCTCAACAGACCCCCCATAGGCAACCTCACAAAGCTGGGGAAAGAAACAGAAGAAAGGCATCTACAGGCTGGTCTGAAAGGTCCATCTGACCCATGGAAGGCACAGGAAGCAAGGATGATCATATACTCCTGGGGCTTTTAGTTACCACCTCTCATCTCTGAGGTCTGGCTTCTCCATTTTCTTGCTGGGAACTAGTCTGAGTTAATTTTAGTCTATAAGTAACCCATGCATTTTGAAGTAGGTGAGAGTCAGATGTTCACTGACTATCTTGTTATTAAACTATCATGAGAGCAAGTCTCAGACCAAACTTTACACCCTCTGGGGACATTTCTTAAACAAACATTCATGAGCAATTAGGCACAGAATGTTTCATGCAACCTGCTCTGTGGGTTCCATGAAGGCCCAGCTCTTGTCTTTTTAAGTGATCCAACCACTACCTGGCATGAATGGTCGACTGAAGGGAGAATCAACAACATTGCAGAGGCAGGATTTCATTATCCTTGTGGTCAGGATCAGGCACCTAGAAGCTCTCTGAAAGCTATGTATGGAAATAGGAGTGAGTGGTTCAGGGTCGAATGTCTGGCACCATCCCTACAGGTGCATGCTAAAGGCCTTGCTAGACTCTAAGCTCCTGTTCAGGCAAATGTGAAGAGTGCCCCTAAATTATTTTAGCCTATTCACATATTTTGGCTCTTTTAATTTCATCAGTGAGAGCCCCCTTCTATCATTCTTCATACTAGTTAATCAGGCCACTAATTTCATCCACTTATAATATTTGTTGGGCTGGCTCACAGTATCTGCTGTACATCAAAATACAGATTACTCAAGCACTTGCAGGGAGCACCTTAGCAGATGGCCTTTTGGATATAATGCTAGCTGACACTCTATGGGTATAGATTGCCCTTGGAATTGAAACTTAATCTAACTAGCAAGTACACAGTATTACACCACAATACTGCAGTATTTTCAAGCAAATTACAGACATCAAGACACTTGCTTTGGCATGAGATCGAAAAGCAGTCATTTCCATAAGGCTCAGCAGAACCTCAGTCCCAGGTTCTGTGATTATTTTATCAATCTTAACTTCTGTCTGCAAAGAAGACGACTAATATGAGAAATGATCAAAGTCTGTGCGATTGTATTGGGGACTCCAAATGCCTAAGCATTACAATACAGGAAATACTTGTTACTTGAAAGAGGTTATTACAAGTAGAACAAAATGTTGTTTCATATAGTTCTTATGGAACTGCATACTCTCAAAGGTGGTTCAGGCTGTAAACAAATAAATCATCTGGGCCAAATAAAAGGTCATAGAGTCACAGCCCATAAAAATATTTTATTTGATCTAAGCCATATTGTAATATTATTGAATTTGATTGCCAGTATTTAAAAATCGGTTGCCATTCCCACAAAAATCTGGATTTCTAGCTTCTCTTGAAAAAAATCAGAAGATCTGGCAACACTAGGTCTGTGTTCCCTGCTGACATCAGGCAGCTGGAATGGAAGACCCATTTAGCAGGCATTTCCTCTCCAGCTTGCTGCAGTCCTCACCATGCCCTAATACTCCCCACACTGAGGCCCAATGCCGGGTGCCATTTATAATCTCATCTGCATTACCATATTTCTTATAGTGGGGTTAAGAGAAACAAGACATCTTCCTTGTGTCTTGAGCAGCATTTTAGCATCAGAGTTAAGAGTATGGGCCATAGAGGCAGACAGCCTGGTTTGAATCCTGGTTCTTTTATTTTCTAGTTATGTGGCTTGGGGCAAGTGGCTTAACCTCTCTAAACCTGTATGCTTGTCTGTAAAAGGAAGGTTAAACTGGTATCCACTTCACTGTTGTGGTGAGGATTAAAACACAGGGCAGCATCAGTAGGTGTCTCCAAGAAGGGTACATGTCCCACCAGCCCACTGCAGTCTTTACATTACCCACCTGGCCTCCTATAGGCATTGAATTCATGATGTCTGGTTTAAATAAATATGTGGATATCATTTCATAATGAATTATTAACAAAACTGAGAATATCTGGAATATACTCCTCAACCCTGAAAATTGTTTTATGGAGCACCACTTAACTATCTGCATCAGCCACACCTTGAAGCTAAGTAACAGACCAGAATCTTATGGGGACCATGGAACTGGATTCCTGCCCAAATACTGTCTTGGATGAGATGATATCCCTGCCTCAATATACACCATGTATTCATGAAAAGACAAACCACTAAATGGGAGAAGATATTTACAACGTATATAGCTGCAGAAAATTAGTATCCAAAACAATACAATTTCTACAAACTAAAGAGAGAAAGACAACCAGACCTATAAAAAAAAATGGGCAAAAAAGATGAATAGGCAATTCACAGAGGAAGAAACAGGAATGATCTATAAACATAGAAAAAAGATACTCAACTCCACAGTAATGCAGAAAAGGAAGGTTAAAACCACAATAACATATCATTTCACCTCCATCATTTCAACAAAAATTTTACAGTCTAACAAGACCAACACCAATGCCAGGTTTATATGCATTGGTGGTTGAATGTAGATTGGCCAGGTCTATCTGAAGAGTGGTTTGGAACTCTCCAGAAAAGCTGTTTATCCAAGGTCCCAACAGTTTCACTCCTAGGAACCAACCCTAGAGAAACCCTTGCAGAAAGGTACCAAGAGACAGGTACAAAAATGTTTATGGCACCATTGTTTGTAATAGTCAAAACTGATAACAACTTAAATGTATATCAGCAGAATAGATAAATTAAGAATGACATATTTACACAATAGGGTAATATACAGTCACCACATCCATCAATAAGAATGATTCTCAAAACATTTTAGAAACAGCAAGTTGCATAAGAAAACATACATTACATTGTCATGTGTATAAAATAGCATGCAAAGCAGTACTACATATTGTTTGGTGATACAGGTATTTAAATATGTATGGGAATAATAAATGCCAAATTTAGGATACTGATTACCTCTGCAAGGAAGAGAAGGAAATGAAATCCAAGACGGGTCTGCAAGAGTCTTTAGCTTTATTAGAACTACTTCATTCCTTGAGTCAGGTGGAAAATAATCTGGTTGTGTGTTGTGTTAGTCTTTATACCTTTTTGGATCTATTAATTATTATAAAACATATACTAAAATAAATGACATTTATTAATTTCTATTTTGTAGATTTTCTTGTTTATTTCAGAGTTAATTAAAACTTTTTCCAGGCCCAAGCATCTGGCTGGCTCAGTTGGTAGAGCATGTGACTCTTGATCTTG